GGCCGCATGATGCCGCAGGGTTGAGCAAAGAAAACCCTCAGCTGCTGATCAGGAGGGGAAATTGCTGAAGGGCTTTGGCTGCTGAGCGAGCTCAGGGTTGGGCAGGCACGGGGGTCCTGGAGGACTTGGGAGGCGCAGGAAGCGGTGCTATGGGAGAGGATCTCATGTTGCGGCGCGGTTGCCTGCACGTCTTGGGAGGTACAAACTGTGCTAACGGCCTCAAGGCCCAGAAGCGCCACGGCCACCGCAAAGTCAGAGGGGCCCCTGCAAAGGTCCGGTACCCGAGTGCTAAAGCAGCGTCACGGCAGCACGAGCTGGTGGCAGCAGCGCAAGCATGGCCAAGCGCACCCTAGCACTGCAAGGTCCCGCTGCGCTCGTGGGAAAGGCTCGATGCCGAGAAGCGGCCCCCGGCATTCCCAGCACGTTGCTCTTTGGCCGGAGCAGGCGTTTTGGCAGCGCCATAGCCCAGGGAAGGGTTCACGAGCCACTGCCCTCTGAAATGCCGATTGGATGAGTAAAGAGCCATGCTGAGGGTGCGTCCTCCTCCTTAAATTGTACTTTAATTGCAAATCTCAGTTAAAGTTCAGGGACATCAGCTGTTCCACCCCAGGGCACTGTTCAATGCTGGGTAAAATACCTTTCAAGATAATCTTTTGTTTATCTGTATATCCCTCTCTCTATATAACTATTTATTTAAATGTTTTGGAAAGTTCTAGGGATTTAAACATATCCCGGGCAGATGCAGCTCTGCCCAGAGTGGGAGAAGGGTGCAGGCTCTCAAAGTCCAGTCTAGGAGGAATTTAGTGACTTGAGAGGACATTTCATTCCTGGTTGGTCTGGTCCAGAAATTGTGCAGGGCTCTGATCAGGTCTGGGCTTCAGCTTGGTAGGAATCCCTCCACCGCCTTATACCAGGAGAGGGCTAGAGGGCCCAGAACCTAGTTTGAATGTCAAAGTCACATAATGCTTTTTCACTATGTGTGTTGCTTCTTGAAGACTTTTGTCTTTAAAAGCCCCTAATTTAAAACAGAATGGTTTCATGCACATGTGCATATTTTCTGAGGAATGGCAGCATCCTCAAACTCTGTTTCCTCTCATTAGAGGCAGTCATATAATGCTTGAGTATTCCATAAAGTCCAAGGGACATCTCTCTGCATTTTCTCTCTCCAACTCCAGTCACAAAATGCTTCCCAAGATCTGTTGTGCCAAGAGGCACGATTAGGAGGAGCCATGGGAAGAATACGGGTCACTGGCAACGTCCTTAACTTATATCAACTTTTGCTTGAAGAAGGGTCTTGTATGTGCCAAGTAGACAAGGCCTTAAAAACCCAGGGAAAAGGATTATTTGGATGCTGCATGCTGGCATCTTCACTGAAAATAGGGGGAAAGGGACCGTTTGCTGAAATGTCAGCTCTCCAGCGGTGGTGGGAAGGGTTGAGAGGGTCCTTTTTGTCCGTAGGCTGGGTGCTGTGCTCAATTACTGCAGGTGTGCCTCAGGCATCCCTGTCACTCCCCCACTAAACTGGTGCAAAGTCCTGTTCCCATCCAGATTATGAGCTGCAGCTGTCACGCTTTCCATGGCCTAGGAACTGAACTGCAGAAAACTGGGATGCGACCAGGGTGCCTGAGGTGACTCTGCCTCTGTTTCTGGAGTGCTTGCTGGCTAGGAGCCCTGTTAGCCTGGAGCCTGTGCTTGCTATCTGAGGACAGCCAATGTTCTTGCTTTTGGTGTTGCTGCTCTGATCTGCTGAGCTTGAGCTGTGCTTGAAAGGTACCCATCAGTCTGCCTTGTGCCTGCGGCAGCAGCAGCTAATGCAGACCTTTGCATGCAGCAGGGAGGTGCAGCTGCAGCTGCCTCTGGGCTTGAAAGTCAAAATGCTGAACGTGCACAGTATGCAGGATTTATAACCACTTTTGACACGGAGGCAGGCGGGAGAGCTACTGTTGTCACTGAATTTCCTCTGCAGGAAGTCAGCCCAGCAGATAGGCAAAGCAGCCTTCGGCGAGGAAGTCCTTGGATTTGCTGCGCAGGGGAAATCGTTATAAACAGGATGTTTGCCAAAGCTTCAGTCCAAGTCGCGAGTGAGCAAGCGGGCAGCTGGGCTCTGCTGAGCACACGGCCCCGGTGGGCAGCGTGGAGCGGGCTGCTCGCCCTGCTGTTGAAGCTGTAACCCATGTTCTGGCACTGGAGCTGGATCTTGTGCTTTGCAGGGAAATTGCTCGGGACAGCTGAGAGTGCGATGGCTTTTCCTCCCTGCTGCCTGCACATCTCTTTGGGGTGTGAGGGAGACAGGGCTTGCCCTGAGCCATGGGAAAGGATGGGGCGTGTAGAGAAAGATGTATTCACACTGCATATCCAGGCCATAAAGAATCCGAAGCAAAGGGTTAATCTGTACCCAGTACCCTGCAATAAATCAGAGCGTAGCCACTGCCCAGATGTGAGGCTCTTGTCAGCAGCTCTTTTTTATGGTCTCTAAACTCATTCCTCATTCCAGCCAGACCACCAGGGTGCTGTCCCAGGGGGTCAGTGACCAGAGGATCATTCCCTTTGTCTTCTGATCCCAGCGGGGGCATCTACACAGCATCCAGCCCAGCTCTCTGCTCTCGTGTTTGTGTGTTTGCTGCTGATGCTGGGCCTGGATTCCTACTGCTTTCATGGTAAAACTTTATTTGAGATGCTCCTGGGAGGAGTATGTGTGTGTCTATGAGTGTGCACATCACGTTGCGTCCCAGCCTGAGCAACAGCAGGTCTCCAGCCTAGCGTGTGAGCAGTGGGACTGTGAATTGCATTTATTTAAACCAGGATTTCTGGGCTGAAATGAGCCTGCTAGGTTTTTGTGTGTTCACATTGTCTCACCACATCCTGAGTTATTCTTTGGCATCTCTGCCTTTGTTGGAAATGCATATTTTTAAATATTTTTAAATTTTCCATATTTTTCCATATTCCCCGTGCTTGGCTGACAGCCTGCTATATGCGTCTAGACAGACACGTTCATGCTGTTTCAGACCTGCTAATTTTGCTAATTTTCTCCTTTCTAGGCTGCAGAGCAGCATATGACAGTCAGCAGAGATATGAAATGCATCACATATTGATCCAAGGGAGAAGGGGCTGAGTTCAACTCTCCTCTCCCATGCAAAAAAGGTCTGTCTCCCCGAACAGAGCAAATCTGGGCTGTCACCTCCCCGCTCACAGGGCCGAGTAACACGTGTGCCCTCAGCAGGGAGGCCTTGGCTTAGTACCTACCCGGGCATGCAGGTGCTTAGAGGGCTGTGCTGCTTGTCCCTGGGCTGTCTGTCCTTCCTATGCCCCAAGGAATTAAAAATTCACTCCTGTGTGTGGAGGCCCTGCAGGAGGAGCTGCGTGAAATCCTAAGGGAATTTGCTCAGTTGGGTCACACAGAGAGGCCCGGTGGCAAAGGTGTAAGGTAACATTTGTAAAGCTCCTTTTGGAGCATTTATGTAAAAATTCCCCTGCCCCCTGAGCTGGTAGGTTGGGGTTGGTGTGCGAGTTTGGGGGATTCTGCTTCCCGCACTTTACTGCTTCCAGCTTGGTGGGTCCCAGGTCTGCACTGGGTGGTAGGAGGTAGCCCACGTCTTCTGGTGAATGCGGGGAAGAATATCCTAGAAATCATCGGTTAAAAGGAGCCTTTTAGAGCTGTGTTAGGGTGGCGATGGGGGAAAAAGGGTCCAGCATGGAATCCTTTGACTTGGAAAATGGCATCAGGAAACAATTCTTGATTTCTGTTTTCTAGTGAAGCTGGTATGCTCTGGTTCAAAGTCAAGCAAGAAGTGTTATAACAACATTACCTGCTGCTGTATGGGCTTTGTTGTCCTACTCCTTTCCTCCCTGCAAGACTTCCGCTTGGCTCTGAGTCAGCACCGAGTTGTTCTCCTGGTTTACAGGCCCTTTGAACATCTCCCCAACCACTTCTCGCTATCTGCCTGTTCCCTAGCCTGCTTAAAACGCTTCCCCAGTCCTGCCCTCTGGTTATTCTTCTCAGCTTCCTCCAACTGTGCCCTGTAATGCTACCCAACCTGTCTGCATTTCTCTTCTCAGCATTGTCCCTTCTCTCACTTTTGGACCCAGGCCGATTCTCACCGAGTGATTCACGCTATGTGGTGTCCACCACAGACTACCTGGGAATTGTCCTCCACTGTGCTCCGGGTCAGGAAATACTGTTTCCCCCCATACACATGTGGAAATCAGAGGACAGAGGAGTAGGGGTGACCTTTCTGGAGCCACTTGATTAGGTCCTGGGAAAGAAGGAACTTGAACCTTCTCCCCTGGGCCCCCGGTCCAGGGCTCAAATAGAGTGGAGTTGAATGATGTGACCTCTACTTCAAGGGCAGCTCTGGCTTAGGGAGCCTTGCTAGTAAACCTTATCATCGGTCTGTGCAGTAGCTGTCCTCAAAGTAAACTCTGGCATCTTACCTTTCCACTATGTTGCCCTGTGTCACTTCAGCAAGGCTGGGGGAGGAAAAAGCCAAGGTGGGGGGCAGAAGCAGCAGCAAACTGTCAAACGCACCCGAGCTCTTTACTGACGTGTTCTGCTGTCAAGCTGCTCAAAATCAGGAGAGCAATGAACTACTGAGCAATGAAAGAAAAAAAAAAAAAAGCGAGAGGGATGGGATAAGGCCCAAGCAGCCCTCCCTGTCTCTTATTTTCAAAACAAAATCCTGCCTGAGTTTCCCGGCCACGTCAGCGCTGTGCTATGTCAGCTATG